TGCAGGCATGTTTGCAGAAATATTAATTATGCCATCTGATAAGCTATACACACCAGACTTTCTGGAGCACATTTTCATTTAAACTTGCATGGTTTTCCCAGACAAGGTCACTATGCCACTGCAACCATGGCTTTCTAGAGACTTCTGTTTTAAATAACTACCTTTTCCTGTCTCTAGTTCAGTGGTTACCAGCCGGAACTTCTGAACCATAAGTGTCCCCTAAGTTTTTTAATTTATTTTTATATTTTGGCAAACATTTGGCAGTATCAATGGTTATCAGAAAGGACCTTTATTCCCCTGGGGGTTATTGAGAGGCTTCCTCTTCCTCTGATGTTGCAGCAGTGTGAGTTTGTTCATGAATAACTCAGCACAGTTTTGCTCAGTGAAGCCAGGTGTGGGCAGCAGCTGTCCTTAGTACTGGGCTGTTACTAAGGTGTCTTTTGGAGCTGAATACCAGTCCTCTTTCTCCTATGAAAATTTGATTGCAACAACATAAAATGAAAAACTTTATGAAATTTGTAATAAAATTCAGGGCTTATTCCAGGTTCATGTATCTCCTCTTGTTTGGTAAGAATTATGTTATTGGGAGCCTGTAGCTTTTCTTTGATTGACTGAAATATATACCATTACCCTACCATCATAAACTGTGTTCCTGGAATAAAAATTATTTGGGGAGCTTAATGTATTACAGATTAATGTCAAGGAGAAAATTTCCAGAAAATACTTGTGAAACCGGTTCAGTTTTTTTTTTTTCTTAAGAGAATCAAAGCAGTGTCTGTCTTCTCAGCAAGTGTATCCTTTAGTTAATCTTTGTAGATAATGTTTGCTTATTTGTATCTAAGAGATGATGATGACAATCAGGAATAAAAAGCAAGACTAGTTTACCTGTTGTCTTCAATTGCAGGGAGATCCCTTGTAGATCCATGTAGACCCTTTTAATTCATTAAGAATTTAGTCTTCATTCCAGATGCAGTTGATTCCATCAGACAAGTACATTTTTATTATTATAGTACTTACTCTGGTTTGGTTCTTATTGGTTTTGTTGTTCTGTTTTTTTTAAATGTGCACAATAAAAAAACCCCAACTTATTCCTTGACAATATCAGCTTCATAAGACTGTCCCCAAGAAGTAGAATAGTATGAGTTCATCTGCATGAACCTGAATAATTCAGTATTGGACCCTGTATTTCTTAAAATCTCTCTGACCTTTGCAAGATCTGGTGGGATCTCACCAGTGTACAGAAATACCTGAAGGGAAGGTGTAAGAGGGAGACAGGCTCATTTCTGTGGCATGGCATGACAGGACAAGAGGCAGTGGGCACAAATTAAAACACCAAATTCAGTTAGAACACAGGCAAGTGTGTTTTACTGTGATGATGGTCAAACACTGGGACAGGTTGCCCAGAGAGGTTGTGGAGTCTTATAGAATCATAGAATCATAGAATCTTAGGGGCTGGAAGGGACCTCGAAAGATCGTCTAGTCCAACCCCCCTATCCTTGGAGATACTCAGAAGCCATCTGAACATGGTCTCGGGCAACCAGCTCTGGGTCCCTACTTGTGCAGGGGAGCAGATGACATCCAAAGGCCCTTCTAACATCAACCATTATGTGATTCTTTGAAACCTCTTTCCAAGGAACGTCTGCTTCATAGTATTTTCAGACTTGATATAGCAAGAGCTGCTTGTTTTATGGACTGATTCTGCCACAAATATGCAGAGTAATTATGCTTCTCCATTTAATTTCAAACAGAAAGAGCCGTCACATTCATGATTTTTTTCAAAGGAGAGGTTTGCCCAATTTTTGCAATCACTTAAATGATTTCTGTTACTCACCAAGGTTACTTGAATGTATTCCTAATCTACTGAAAGCTCAGTGTGAGTCACTGAGGTACAATTTCAAAATCATGTAGCAAACAGTGTTGGTGCATGATGGTAGGGAGAGAGATCCACTACAGGGGCTCTTCAGATGTGACAAGTGCTGGCACAATTTTGTAGCTTATCACTTTATTCATTCCACACTTTTCTTCTGGATTGTAATTTGAGTTTGACATGGTCTTCAAAGCTTCCATTCTTCTTTCTATATAATTTTCTTTCCTCTTTTTTTCTTTGATCTGCCTTAAGGACAAATTAAAAGCACAATTTGGCTTTACAATCCAGAGAGAATGAAGTAAATACACTGAGCAGCTAATATAAGTCACTTTTCCTTTTGTACAGTTATTTTGTGTGTCAAAGGCTGCTATGTAACTGAAAGGTCAGGCCATCCCTCCTTCCAGCTAGTACCATCCCTCTTCAGTACCACCTTTTATAAGCATTCATGAGACCTTAGGAGCTGTTGTTTAGATGCCTGTGCTTGAGCTTTGGAGTTGCTCCCTTCCATCGTCTGGAGTAACAGCTGTGTCTTCAGTGAAATGTATGGATAGATATTGTCCATGGGTCCTTCCATGAAATTGCCCTTGCCTGTCTAATCTGAATTCTCTCTAATGCTATAGTCAGTCCTTGAATAAAGTTGTTTGCACTGTGTAGGCTCCTGTTCTGAGTAGCCTTTGGAACTGAGCCAATTTGCTGAATTTTGACTATATATAAAAAATAAATTTTTTTTGCCACTTCTTAGGTGGGGTATTAAAAGAATTTTTAGAGGAAGAGGGTGGTAAAGAAAGTAAACACGCTTTTGAAAAATTCCTGTTTCTATTAGGGAGGCCTGAAAAATTAGCCTTTAGAAATGTCAGGAGAGCAATACAAGTTACCCATAATTTTTCAAGAAGTTCAATTAACTAATCAAAAGAAATTCCAAGGTTTTGAAAATTGCTTTTATCTTGAATCAGGATGAAAATAATACTCGCAGGTGTGAGATACCCTCATCTCTTAGAACTGGGAAGCTTTGAGAGCAATGGTTATCAAAGCTCTGCAGTCTGGCAGCTGGGTGGCCAGTGCTCTGAGGGGAGCCAGTTCAAGACCAGAAGGGAAAAGGCACATTTGCCTTTCCACTCTTCTTTTACTTTGAAATTTGAGCAAAATGTAAGACACCCTCTTCTCTGCCACCTGAAAGCCCAGAGTTTTCAGACAGGCACCAAGAAGTCTTTTGTCAGCTCTGAAGGTAACCCTTGGCTTTTGGGTAGCTGGGATTTAAATCCTAATTAGTGATAGGAAGGTAGGAGTGATGTGATCATTCTTGCACAACTTGTCAGTTGAATCTGTTATGCAAGAAGCAACTGTCCGAACAAGATGTGGGGTTTTATTTCCTCTGCTGCTGCTGTTAATGTAAAAGACTGCTTTGTCTGTAAATACTTTAGTTGGTTGTACAGGTAGTATTTTGAAGAGTAAAGAGAAACCAAGTTCCTTTCATAATACCTCATAGTTTCTTTGTTGCACAAATTTATTAAACAGTGATACTTGCTCATCTACCCCCTTACCTGTCCCTTTAGAGCACACTAGTGTAATTTCCTGATGGTGACTGTAAGTTCACTGATGGTTACAGTGCAGTCTCATAAGATGAGGCAATAACATTAGGCTAATCTGTATAGAGACAGATTTGTGACAGGGGGAGAGTAGCATGACTACAAGGCTCCTACAGGACGAACCTGAGCTCAGCATAAAGGAGAAAAAGTGGATACCCAGTAACTGGGTGCGAGCAGAAAACAATGGGATTTGTTGAACATCCTTTGCAGTTTTTTATATATAGGTAGAAGGCAGTGGGTCTCTTAAGCTTATTGCTAACTGAACAGAAAACACTAGTGCCATATTGTCTGGCTTGTGCCCTAAAGGGATTTCCAGAATCCGTAAAAAAAAATCTATCCACTCCTTCAAATAGATGTGATTTGACTGTGATTTATTTCTTATGCATCTACTAATTTGCATGTATAAACAACATCATGCAAATTCTGTGAAAGAGGAATATAAATTAATAAAGGTAAACCAGGGGTGGTGTGCATATTGGGTGCTTCCAGGTTGGGTTTTAAAGTAAATCTATCTTCTACATGAAAATATTGGGGGAGGGACACCAGAAACCACTACCAAGATCCACATGTTTCTTATCATGGGGGGAACCCTGTGTGGCTCTCCTCAGCAATAAGTGCCTGACCTTTTAAGCTTTTCAGAGGGCTAGAGGGCTGTTGTTCATGACTCATAAAATGCAGTCTGTACTACTGGTCTGATCCTTAAACAGCCATATGCAGGGAGCTGCAATCCCTGCATAAGTTCAGCAGTGCTCTTTTATAGCAGTCTAATTAGAGCAAACTCTCTTCCCCATTGAAGTATCACTAAGTTTGAGAAAGATGCTTGAATTTTGTGGAAAACTGTAATAATAACTGTAAATAAAGATAATTAAATTTTTGACACTGGACTTTGAACATGAACTGAATTGCTAGCAAGAGACTTCTGAATAAAGAAATAAAGAGACTTCTGAAGTTGGAGCAAGGACCAGAAAGATGATTAAGGGTCTGGGCCATCTGTCGCAGGAGGAGAGGTTGCAAGAGCTGGGACTGTTCAGCCTGAGGAGAGAAGGTTGGGGGCGGGGGTGGGGCAGGAGTGGTGGGTCTCAGCAATGTGTATGAATGCCTGCTGGGAGTGAAAAGCAACAGCATCCAGGCACTTTGATGGTACAAGAAGCTACAGCACAAAGTAAAACACATGAAACTTTATTTGAATGTAAGAAAACATTTTTTTTTCTGTGAGGATGGTCAAAGACTTGAGCAGGTTGCCCAGAGAAGTTGTGAAGTCTCCTTCTGTGAGCATGCTAAAAACTTAGCTGGACATGGTCTTGGGCAACCTGCTCCAGCAGATCCTGCCAGATGAGGGGATCAGAAGCTCCCAGGAGGAGGCCTCTTCCAACATAAGTGGTTCTGCAAAAGTTTTGGTTTTTTGTTTTCAACAGTATATTAACCTACTAGTAACACAGATTGACTTTAGTTGTCTCAATATGTAATAGGTTATACTGTGGTTTTTGTTACCATATGAATATGAAGCATATCTAAAAAAAGTTGCCTTTTTTCTCTCTCCTTTCTAGGTTCTGGGAACGCCTACAAGGGAGCAAATTAGAGAAATGAATCCAAACTATACTGAATTCAAATTCCCCCAGATTAAGGCACATCCATGGACTAAGGTGAGTCTATGAACTGAATAATCAAGATATATGGGCTGAAAGTAAAAATTCAAGGAATTTGATTTGTTCAATGGCTTGGTAGTTTTCAGTGTAAAATGTGTGCCTATAACTAAGCCAGGACCTGGTAACTTGATTTAGAGAAGGAGAAGAAGGTAGTGGAGCAGTGCACTGTAGTATCTATTGGTTTGGGTTTTTTGAGGTTTGACTATAGGTGTTTCTTTCTTTTTCTTTTTTTTTTTTTTTTTTATAATGGTGTGTGTTCAATAGCAGATTACAATTTATCTAAAAACCTATGTTCTATAAATTGTTGTGCATAGAAGTCACTTAAAAGTGAGAAAGTGTTCCAGTGAAGTGTGTGACACTTTTGTAATGCTATTGCATAACGTGACAAAGAGGGCTGACAGTCACTTTCTTAACTAGTTCTCTCATAGATATTACCATGTTTGCACTCCTGTAAGTGTGCTGTTGAGGTGTTGTTCTTGTTTTTTTTCTTCAAGTTACTTCTTAAGACTTCTTGTTAGCTAGCTTGCACAAGGAGACACTATTGCAGAGCATGCAGACAATATTAGAACCTCCATGATCAAAGAGGAAACTGCTAGCATTGAAACAAATACATTGCCACACATGCTGTCTTCCATATGTCAAGGAATGATGAATATTTGACTTGGGATAGAGCAACAGTAATTTAATTAGCTTCTTGGGTGTGCATAAGTTAAATGTTGAGTATTAAGGAATTGAAGCTTGGGTAGTTAACATTTTGCTGCTTGAGAAATCTCTGATATAGCTGCAGTATATTCTTATCATAACTTAAGGTCTCAGGTTTCCTTTTGCTAAGAAAATAGTGTAAATGCATGCAAGAGTTGCATTCTTAGTTGAGCAAATGTCCAGGTCAGATTCTTTGGATCAAATGGTCTTTCTTTGTAGTGGTACAAACTTCGGATAAACTAATTAGAGCTAATTGATAGCAGGCCACATACCTGATAGGTACATGCCAGATCAGACATTGCCAAATCACTATCTTTGTGACAAGTTCTCCAGTGGGTTATGCACCACTTTAATTCTCCTTTTCTGCACTAATCCATGGTGTGCATTTCCATATCAGAGTTTCTTTTTGTGTGTTGGCTAACTGATTTATGAGAGGTATGAGAGGTCAGTAAATCCAGTGAGGCTTTTTAATACTTTATGTTACCAGGAGAAAAAGTTAGGGTAAATTAAATCCCTGGGAGTTTCTCTCTTGAGTTTTGAATTGCATCATGGTACAAGTCACAAGAAGTAACTTCTAGTAAGTCACTAATAAGTGACTGAATAAGTTTCTAAATCAATCCAAAAGCCTTATAGCACTGAATATTAGGGTTGCATTTGGATTCCTGCAGTGAAGATGGTTGGATTAGAGAGGGTTAAATTAGTATGCCATGGAGTAGGAGCACAGAGATGTACTGTAGGACATGGAGTTAAGTGTCTAAGCTAGCTACACAGCTTGTCTTCTGCCTGAATAACCTGAAGGATCATCTGTATGTACTTGATGGTCTCTTAGACCACAAGAGACATCTTTGGCAAATAGAAAAAAACTTCAAGAAAAAACTGAGACTTCTTTTTATTTATATGAATGTTTTTTTGGTCATTCTAAAGGATCACAAATTAAACCTCGTCAATTATAAAGAATTGAGATGAGCTCGTTGGAAGATCAAATCTGCCTTTTCCATTAGGGTACATTAGCTTTGGAGAGTTGTGATTGCAGCATAGCCTCTCATTCTCCAGTCATTCTACACACAACTCTGCCTGACATTAGCTGGGTGTCAAATAGCATTTAAGCCAGTTTATTACAATTGGGCTATATGATTCTTCATCCAAATACAGTGTTGATATTAATTCATTATGTGAAGGAAGACAATGTTAAATTATCAAGGGTCTTTCTTATGTTAGGAGGGAATTCAAGCTAACACTAAAAGTATTTTTCTGTGATGCAGTAATAATATGAGTTTTCGATGCAAACTGTATTCTCAGACTGGTGTTTCAATCTTTTGACAATTTGACATTAAAATTATTTTGTCACTTAAGAGCCAAAATTTCTCTTTATAAAATACATAGAAGCCCCTCTCCCTCCCATACAGGTCTCTGTTGCCCAAGCATGTGTTTTTCTACCAGTTATGTGTGTGATGCAGATGATGATGGGAGTTCAGTGCGTCCCTGGCTAGCAAAAGAGAACCTGAACTTCCCAGGAGTCTTAAACTTTTCTTCCAAAACAAGACTTGTGCCTTCTGCCCCTCTGTCCCCTTCTTGCCCAAGGAGGGATCTGGGACATTCTCACTCCTTGGAGATTCCTCTTCAGAATACAGGAGTATTTAGTTTGGTAAGGTAGCTGTTGTTTTCATCCAGACCTCCATTTATTTTCACTTAATGCAGAACAATTTGTATTCAACGACATGCATTCTACTCCCTTGGTCTGTGAGTAAGCATTAAGTTGTAAGAGAAACAAGGTTTTCCAGAGCTGGGAGTATCTTTTGCCTGATTCATACAGTGAGAGAAAGAGGGCAGACTTTTAGATACACAATCATGTATTCTGGTTTATCTTGGGTCAGAAAACCTGTGCATTTTTTCTAGCTTATCAGCTCGTATAATGGAAGTTACAACCCTTTCTGGGGTCTTGGCTGCTGCTACTTTTACTAGGTCAGAACTTTCCTTCTGTCTCTCAGCCACCTCAAATGCTTAAGCCATCTTACTCCTTGGAAGTGCAGTCTGATCTCTGCTACTAATCTTTATACTTGTTTCTCTTCCCTTAGTAAGCTTCATGTATACTTAAACAGTGTGACTGGAAAACCAAAAATAAAATCTGATGCCAAGTGCAAGATAGTACATCACAGGGCTGTTGAAGCTCAGCTTTGATTGTTAGCTTTCTCTAATGCTTTCAGCCCTTTTGGAGGGTGCTGGGGAAGTGGGGTGGCTGACAAAGGGTCTAAGCACATGCTTCAAAAGCTTGTGTTAGATAGACATTGCTTATCATGGCTCTATTACAGCTGGCCTTCATTCAAGCATTACTCAGATGCTACCTTCAGATCTCAAATCCTTTGGGTTATGAAAAACAAAAACTGTGCTGTAATTATTTCTGAAATATTAAAAATTTCCAACCCTGATGGCCTGCCTTTCCCCTTGCATCCAGCTAATAAATGATCTAATTTGAGTAAGGTTGTGGTAAATGTAACATGTATATGTAGTTTAGGCCTCTTCCGCATGGGTAAGAGACTTGCTTGAATTTTTTTCCTTATCCAAGGTTACTTTAGATGCTTGCTGGTAATGGTATTGTAGTGAACTGACTTATCTACAAGCATACCCATGGTTTGTGATGACAGAACAACACAGCAGGTTATATCAGCAGAGGCTGTTTTTTTCAGTCAAATCATAACCTCTGACTTGTCTCCATTGTATAGACGGAAGCAATTTCCACTGTAGGCAGCTCTTTTAAAATGGACAGTGCATCTCCTCAGTGTGCTGTAATTTAGGGGCCTTTGTTTATCCTGTTCTGAAGATACTTGCAAGATTGTTTCCACATGCAAGCACTTCTTAAATATACAGTTGGTGAGATAAGTTTGAGTGTGCTCAAAGTAATTACTTCATCCATCATACGCAAATCTATAGCTAGCTGGTGTCTGAATCATAATTTCCAAGTCAGTGTTGAGATCAACGAAGACAGGAGTCATTTGTTTAATAGTGGAAGGAAGAGAGAGAAAAGCTGTCACGTCTAGATCGGTTTTTAACATCTCTGCCCTTCTGCAGTGCACTCTTGTGGATGAATACATGAGAACTTCTCTCTGCAGCACTTGGCCATCACAGTGGAGCTGCAGCAGATTAGGAAAGGGTCCCTCCCAACTTTGTAAATGCTTCTTTTTTTTTTTTCTTCTCATGACTTGCACTGTTCAGAATGCCCTTCTGTGCATGTCTTCAAGCCAAATTACTACAGTAGGGGAAAACAGTGTCTAAGACAAAACTTCAGGCTTCTGTTCATCCCTTCTGGCACTCTTCCAAAGCAATTGGCCACTCCTGGCTGTAGCTGAACACACAACTGTAGCTGAGCACGTAGAGACATAGTTGGTTGTATTATAGAGTATAATATTTGGATATTGACTTTAGGATCCGTATTTATGCCTATATTATGAAATAACTTCTGCTAATATTATAAATTACTTAGCAAGTATTTTAGTCTGAGTGTCCTCTCTGTGTGTATATTCTTTGTTTACATTTTGCCATACTAGTCACTTTACCTCAAATGTTAAATTTCTCTGTGGTTGTAGCAGGCAGTCCTGTTATCTTCCCCACACTCTGGGAATGGGATGTAAAGAGTCTGGTCTCTCTCATGAACATGTTTTTCCACCCTCCAGAATCAGTTTCATGCCTTCATCATGTCCTCCTCCTGCTCTCCTGGTTTTTAAGCAGACTGTTTTGCTTGTAATGCTTCCAAAGTGACTGCTCATACTGTAGGTTTGAGGAAGAATACCAAACAGTAAAATGGATAAATAGACAGGATGTTTTTTCACTTGTAATTATAACTGATGACAAAAGAAAGCAAAAACTCTTTTGTCAGGAATCTTGAGTAAGTGAACTTGCATTTTTAATTAAAGCTGAAACTGCAAAGCCTTCTTTCTGAGATACGGGTCTGATCTTTTGTAGAGCTACAAAGGTACAGCGGAGAAGACATGTTTCTTAAGGTGCAGTTTCAAAATGGGCATAAAAGTTCAGTAGGAAGCAGTCAGTTCTCCACCTCCCAACTGCATATTCCCTTCAGCATTGTTGTTTGTATAGTAGCAAAAGCCTTTTGAATAACATGAATGTTCAGGATTTGGATCACCATACTTAACCTGTCTGACCATTCAGCCCCAACTGCAAGTGTTGGAATAAGGCAACAAGAGAGACCTGTGTAGCCAGGAGAAGGGAAGAACTGTCTTTTTTCCAGCGTGAACTGGAGGTGATTTGTGCCTGTTGTAAAACCATGCCCCAACCTCTTTCTGAAGAGTGCTGTTATGTTTTTCATTTGCTGGGTAATGACTTTCCAAGCAAAGAGTGAAAACAGCTTTGCTGGAGACCAGCTTAAAAGAAAAAAAAACAAGTTTTTCTGGCAAGTTCATGTTTCCCAGCTCCTTCTGCAGGAGTAGTGATTTTTGACAGTGTAAATCTCTTACCTCCATTTAAAGCCTGAGAAAAGAAGCCAGGTTTGTTGGGTGGTAAATTACGTTGCACTGTCCAATTTGTATGCAGTAAAGAAAGTACTGCTTAACAATGAATGAGCGAGGGCTAATGTAACATTCAGAGATTATTTGCATCAGTGCAAACACAGAAATCAAATGCTAAGTTTAACATGTCTTCTGCAACGTACCATCTGTTTAGCCATCCCATTGCAACACATCTGTCTAGGCTGTTCATTGAGACAGAGTGCTTCCAGAGGTAGACAACTGGGGGTTCTTTCTGAGAAGAAAGGGAGCTGTTTTATTCTACTTAGCTTTGTTGTTTTCCTTTAGAGCTTGATAGAAGTAGAGCACATGCACTGGGTAATAAACTCAAGCTCCGTTCTGTCTCTGCTGGGTCCTCAAGGATAGGAACCCAGTAACAAGTGTGTGGTCTCAAAAAGAAGTAGCTTTGGAGACAGGTTCCTGGTCTTGTTCCCAGTACTGTGTTGGCTCATTTGTAAGCCACTTAACCCTTCTGTCTTTATTTCATTTTTCCCTATCTAAGTGCCACCTGACAGGGATTCTTGACTTATAAAGTGTTTACTGTTGCTGTGCTGCTTTTTAGACAAAAGGTAGGGTGACTTAATATGATATTAAATTTGAGGGGAGGGAGGGTGGGCGGCTTAAATATATTTAAAAGAACTCCTAGCACCAGTGCCTCTCTGGTGAACTTTTAAACTTCATTGGTATCACATGAGTTTTATGCACTTCAAAATAGTGAAATGGCATATTTCAGAATTCCTGTTCTGAAATTCTCAGACCCTTGAAACAAGACTTGTCCCAAGGGCAGAGCTTCAGCTGCAATTTTAGGTTTCCTTGTGTCAGGTGGAGCTCAGTACATACATTGTTGTCTTGCATGCATATTCCCTCTCCGTTTGTGTTTATGGACATGTCACGTCTATCATAAGGCCTATTATGTTAAACTTGCCTGACTGAAATATTGCTTCATGTTGTAATGTCATGGTAATAGTATTTTTTAAAAGTTGATTTGAGGGTCGTGTCCTACAGCTGACAATTTTGCTTGTAAACAGTACAAGCTTTTGGTTGAAGGGAGGAGCTTTCTCTCTTATCTAATGTTCATATGCCATCAAAAATGTGCTTACAAACTGAAAGGAGATGTGCACAGACTGTCAGGCTGAATTGGTGGTGTGGGTGGTTCTTGGCAAAACGTATGAGCCTCTGAAGCTGGCGAAGAAATTTTTAACCGTGGTGTCACAAACTTGATGCGTTAGCAACAGATGTCGTTTTCATAAGCCTCTGCTCTCTTAGGGAGCACAGCATGCGAGGGGTATTCACAATCTGCATGCAAAACACACAGTGGTTGATGGCATGAAGTCATGTCTTTTAATACACGCTGGCTAGAGGAGCACCTTGGTGTAACATTGTGAAGCTTTGGCTTTGGGGCTTAATTAGACCAAGACGACAGAGCTGCGTGTTGTGCATGGAAAGTCTGTTTGAAGAATGTCAATGAACTGAAAGTCAGAGCAGCCATTATTTTAAAACAATACTTAGCTCTTACCCCATGTGGTTTTATTTGAGAGCTGAATGCTGATGTGAGTGAAGTGAAATATGAGAATCCTGTGCTTTCCATCCTTTTTCTTTCTTCTTTTCCATGCGCATAAAAAAAAAAATTAAAATAAAATTCAGAAGGGACGTGAACTCCACTACATTGGTAGGAACTATTTGAGATTAGTAAGGTAAAATGTGACTGCTCTGCTAGTGCACAAATACTTCATCTAAATTTAAGTCACTTGGAGATGAGAGGCCTGTAGCGCACCAGGGGCAGTTAAGTCTGGCAACTGTTTTTAAAATGTTGAAGATGGTGGTAGTTCCTGAAAAATTAATGGGCAGTAAAATAAAATAATAATAAAAAAAACATTTATATCAGTGTAACTTAAAATGAGAGAAGACTGTGTCTGGCCTTGCTGAATAGCTGTTACAGTCTTGTCAGCATTTCATCATCACCAGAATGCCCGAACAAAGAAAGAACTTGCACTGGTCCCTCAGCATTTTGGTGAGGTATAGATTTATTGGGATCTGAGGGAGGTGGGGGACCAAAAGCTGTGGCTTTGCATGAGTCGGCATTTCCATTTGACATGATCATTCAGAGATTTTTGTGACTCATCCAAAAAAACCCAACCAAATGAAAACACAGCAATCTGGGTCTCAGCCTGAAATTCATTTGCTTCGCAGAAACAAAAGGTTTTGAGTTATGCAAGTGCAAATTTTCCTTGAAGAATATTGTATGTAAAGCCTTTTTTTTTCTTTTTTTCTTTTTTTCTTTTTTTTGCATTTGTTTATCTCCAAAACAGGTTCATTTTTTAAAATGAAAACTTGAGCCTTCGGTCCCTCCTGTGGACAAATAGCCTTACACAAGGTCTTGTTTCATTTTAGAAAAATGAATTGCTGCGCCGGTGGGGTAGTATTTGATTGCTTTAAAAGTTCCTGTCAGTGTTTTATTTTTGTTTTTCGTTTGTGGACTTGCTGTGCCTTTTGCCCGGCCATATTTAGTCTGCATACTAAATGTTAGTCTGCCCAAACACTTTACTTTGTGCACTTAGCTTTTTTTTTCCTTTTTTTTTGTTTTTCCTTTCTCCTTTTTTCTTTCTTTTTAAAATTTATTTTTCTTTTGCTTTCACCCAGATGTATTTTAGACCAAGACAGACTTTGCTCCGATGGGCCGGATTTTAGTCCGTGCACTAAATTTTAGTCCGCAGACTAAAAATAACCCGCGGATTATTTACTAAATTGATTCCCTCACTGAGAACTACAGAGACCTTAAAACTCCTGATGAGCTGTACACGCGAGGGGCTTCACGGCACACGAGTCCCACCGTCTGTCCGTCCTCCCAACCCTTCCCACCACGGAGCGCCGGCCCGGCCTTTCCTTGGCATCGGCTCCCTGCGGCGTGGAAGCGCTGGCATCCCCGTTGCCGCGGGCGGCAGCGTGTAGTTCTCGGTGGGCGAATTGGGCAGCTTTCCCGGTGGAACTGTGTTGAATGGGAAGAGCTGGAAGACCGCAAGGGGGTTACGCTTTTATTTCTTAGGGCATGATTCCAAAGGGAGGTGGGAGGGGACAAATTGAGAGGAAAAAAAAAATTCTTAAGTAACGGGTGCAACGGGTATGAGGGGGAATAAACCCACAATAGAGAGAAATTCAGTCCATACCCGCACTCCTGAGGTGGTACATCTAGTTCCTGAAGAATCCTAAAGAGATAACGCCAGCAGACAAAATCCAGTGGCAGGGGAAGTCAATCCAAAATGGAGAATAATCCGCGGCGGCCTGAGGCACTCGTAGCTCATGCAAATTAAAAACATCCAAATTCAAAGTACAGATCTCGGATTTTTTACCTTCTCTTCGCACCAATTAAAAATTGCTAGGGGTTTGGTTTTGTTTTTTAAAAAAACAAAACAAACAAGCAAACAAGAAAAAACAAAATGCAAAACTGACCCAAAAATTTGCATTGTATCTCTGGGACAGATTTACAAATGGGATGCACCTTTGGGGACAAACTAATCTGGCCCCATTGTCTGTGAACACTTATATCCAGGACTGAGGACTGAAAATTCTTTATGATGGGAATTTTAATTACCCTTTTAGTTCAAGTTAGAGTTTTGATTTCAATTTTTTTTTATTTTTTTAGTAAATACACTGGCATTGGAACATAAATTTAATACAGAAATGTTTCTATACTATGCCTCACCATTGCACAATCAATTTTTTGGCATACACTGTGGTGAAGTTGGACTTGCTGCTATGGAGACTGATGTTTAAAGTTTCTAATTGTATAAACATTTTCTATGTCCCCCACACCGTGGATTTCTTATAATATTGGCTATATTTTTCCTTGCTGGACTATTCTCTTTTGGATTGACTCCCCCTGTTTGGATTATTTCACTGCATTATCATCTTTAGGACTCGTCAGGAACAGGACATTTCACCTCAGGAGTACGGGTATGTACTTAAAACATTTTTTCAAATTACTAGGCCTAGCTTTGAAAAAGAAAAAAAAAAAAAAGAGAAATGCCAGAAGTGGAATATTTGAGTTCAAACTGCATCCTTGAGGCAGCAGTCAGGCAAATATTGTAATACAAGGTGACAGAGATGAGGTGGGCACAGACCTGTAACTTGCTTCATGCATTAGTCACTGTTTGTTGCAGGGAGAGGCTGTGTGAGGCCTTCCAAATTACTCTTTACTTTTTCCCTCCCTGGTTTGAAGTAGTTAGGGCAGACATAGGGAACTGTCTACCTGAAGATCCAAAGGCAGGCGGAGCAGCTCTCAACAGGATTTAGGAAACAGATGTTAGAGTTTTGCTGGCTTGAAAATAAGGAGTTTAAGAGCGGATAGTAAGAGTACTTCTTTTACAGATGGCAGATTTGTGACTTTCTGCCTACTAATTTGCTCAAGATAAGGGCTTGTCATCTTTGCCTTCAGGAAAAAAAATAATTTTTTTTCTTTTTAAAATCTGTATAGTAGCTAATATGTGAGCTGTCCTGAGGGAAAATCACAGCTAAGAGTCAAGTACTTAAGTTTTAAGCTGTTGTAAATCAAGCCTGTTAAAACATCAGTGAGAAGGTACATGAGGGAGACCTCAGTATTTTATCTTCATGTTAAATACCAAGCAACTTCACTCCTGTGGTTTTACCTCAAGACATGCTCATTTGTGCTCCTTACCATGGGGTAAAACAAAACCCAACCTGCTTTCTTGGTTTTGGGTTTGGTTTTTTTTGCCTTTTCCCCGGGCTTCCCCCCCTGCCTTTATAATTGGAGGCAGTCTTGCGTTTTGTTCTGGTCAGGCTGTGACTTGAGAGTCATACTTGCATCCACTTTGTGCTGCAGTCAGCAATCTAAGCTCTGCAGGCAGCAGGTCTTGGCACCGAGCAATTTCTGCTGCCCCTCTCTGTGATGGTGCATTCATGGCACAGTGGTCAGCAGAAGTTCTTTGCCAGCAGCTGTCGCAGCAGCTTTGGCCATAGCATTGAGCTAAAGCCTTCCCTTTTGTCATTATAGGCCTCCTGTGAAAACTTTTTTTTGTTTGTTTTCAGACACCTGGTAGTAGAAATATATTCTGCACATTTGGTACCTCACCCTTTGACTCCCCAAGTCAGGATTCCCTGCCACACTAGTTACTGTGGCACACACTGCCGCAAACCCTGAGCTCCTGACCCAGCTGAGCACCAACAGGATAAAATTTCAGTCCCTAGAGAACCTAGCATTTGTGTTTGATTCTCATTCACAAGAGCCTATGTCTTTGGTTTAAAACCTACTTAAAGGGGTGCCTGTGCAAGTTCCTTATCTGCAATTAATTAGCATGTCATGCACTGATTTTTTTGTTGTTGTTGTTGTTCCTTGGTGCTGTGTGGCTTAGGTTCACCTGCACTGGTGTAGAAGCATTTTGGATTAGCTCAGTTTTTATAAAAAAAGCTGGCATCGGAATTTAACACTCGCACCCACTCCCACTGCCTTTTCCCCAGCCTGCAAATCACCCACAACATAGTGAGAAGTGCTTGAGGAGACCATCCAGGTCACGTACATGATTAACTCATATTTTGGTTTTGACATAATGAGAAAGGAGGATGGGGGTGTGATTAGCAGTGGGTAGAACCATTTTTAGAGGTTTAAAACAAAGCTGCAATGAAATACTCCTTTTTTGTAATTGCTCAAGGTAAAAATCTGTTAAGAATACAACAGTAGGTTCTCTTGACACAACTTTCAGCTGTTCTTACAAAACAAACACCAAATGTGCAGGAATTATCCCAATAAATTTATGGGAATGAGTTGCCAGAGTAAGTTCACCAAAGGACTAAGTTGCAAATTAGAGCTAGACATTTCCTGCACCCCACCCGCACTTTCCTTGTTGTTCTCCAAAGTTGAACAGCAGCCTCCATAGCAACAAACTGACCTGCCTGCCTGCAGAAGTCCGTGTTAGTAAGACTTCATTCACTAGCCAAAAAAAAACAACAACAAAACAACAAAACCAAAAAACAACCCAAAACTGTAGTGGGGTCTTAATCGATTTTTACATTCAGTGAATCCTGCTCATTTGAACCCTCCTCCCCACCTTCACTCCACCCCATATGCATGGCTGATAGCACCCGTGTGTGTTTGTCATTATTATTAAGTGAGTTTCCCCCTCCATTCTGGAAGTTGTTTTTCAGAGTGCGCTCTCATGAAGTCTCTTGCTGGCATTGCACCTTCACTCCTACTGCAAGACCTTGCAATTAACCCTTTCTCAACCCCAGGAACTGGATTTCCCCATCCTTACTGGAGGACTCTGATTAGAACAAACCACAAGTTTGTTCCATCTTGTTGGGCAATGAGAGGTTTAATTGCTCTGACTTGCTTCTGGTCAGCAAAGAAAAGAAACATACCCAGAAAACCTGTTTCTCCTTGCTTGTTTCTCTTGTTCTTTCTAGGTCTTCCGGCCCCGCACTCCACCAGAAGCGATTGCGCTATGTAGCCGCCTGTTGGAGTACACCCCCACTGCCCGCCTGACTCCCCTGGAGGCCTGTGCACACTCTTT